GTGGAAGGTGGTCACGTAGTCTTCTTTTCTCGTCCGTTTCCCCCTTGTCCATTTCCTTCTTTGTTCTCCCCCCCCCCCAAAAAAAAAAAACACACACACACACAAACACCACTTCATTTGGGGAGGGTGGGGAAACGTACGCCAATGCCCTCCTGTAGCTGCACCACTGCCGACAACAGACCAACACACACATTCACACCGACGAGCCGACATCAGACCGCACAGAATATATTACCCCGAATGACCAAGGGCAAGTTGGTTTGGAGTCGATGTCGATTTGGCGGTGTCGACTTGGATGTGTGAGTTATAAATTTAAAGGGGATACCAACACTCATGCAATAACATCCACTCTAAAAGTTATGAACTCGTCTGTTCAGAACCTGAAGGGCATTAACTCATACACTTTAACACAGAGTTAACGCCCTTATGGTCCCAAACATACGAACTATTCATTTGTGGTGGATTCTATTCATTAATTGCGTGACGGTGGCAGCGGTGGGATATGAGCCCACGCCATCAAAATGCCTGGGGGTGTTTCACAAAGACTAAGATCTACTTTAAAGTTGGACTTAAATATGGCAGGTCATTCATGCCACTGGTTGCTCTCATCATTCGTCTCTCAATTATGATATTTAGATAATATTCTTTCCCTTCAATAATGAACTATCAACAAATTAGAATTCTGTAGATTTGTGATCATGATTTGTACGTCCCTTAAGAGACCAATGTCAGTAAACCGCGAGAGCTAACAGTGGCATGAACGGCCTGTCATAGTTAAGTCCAACTTAAAATTGATCTTCGTCTTTGTGAAACACTCCCCAGGTGACTCAATGGACTTCCGACTCCAAATTAAGTGACCCCTGATACGACTCCTGAAATGTGGAATTCTAATCAAGCACTACTTTTAAGTGGGTTGACACAATAGGGATGGTCTTCGACTTGATAGGTGGATAAAAAAATATATAAAAACAGTGATGGAGAAAGATGGAGAGGAAACTAACAAGATGGCACTGGTATGTGGACCTTTCCCGGGTATAACAGAGAGTGAGAAAGAGAGAGAGAGAGAGAGAGAGATATCTATGCTTATATGTATATACATATATATATATATATATATAGAGAGAGAGAGAGAGAGAGAGAGAGAATGTGTGTGTGTGTGAGAGAGAGAGAGAGAGAGAGAGAGAGAGAGAGAGAGAAGGGGTGATCCAAAATCTCTAAGAGAAACGCCAAAGGAACCCCAAGCCGACATTTTGACAAAATCTTGGCCATTCCGAGGTAACATAATTTATTTTCTCTATTGTCAGTCTGGTGTACAACAAAGCTGGAGGAGGAAGGACATGACATTTCCGCCCCCCCCCCCCAAAAAAAAATAATAATAATAAAAAAAATAAAAAAAATAAATAAATAAATAAATAAATAAATTGAGGGATAAGTGACATCTTAAAAAGGTAGAAAGAGCTTTCCGATGTCATCTCATGACGAATTAATGTTTTGTTTTCTTACATTGTTATGGCTTTTATACAAAATGATAGGAAGAGCATGAATTTTCTGATACGATACCCCCCCCCCCCCTCCAAAAAAGGGATAAGCGACATCTTGATAGGGCACCGAGAGAGCTTGCTCGATGTCTAACTTAAAAGACATATTATTGCCTTTTTCTTTTTGACATTGCTAAGGGTCAAACAAAAAGAGATAGAAAGAGCATGACATTTTCCGAAATGACAGTTTCCCTTAAAATGAGGGGTAAGTGATAACATCTTGAAAAGGGCAACGAAAGAGCTCGACCGATTTTCAACTTATGACACATTAATGTTGTTTTCTTTCTGACATTGTTATGTGTCATACAAATTATAGTTAGAGCATGACATTTCCCCCCAAATGAGGGATAAGTGACATCTTGGAAAGAGAAAGACAGAGAGCTTACCTGATATTAACTTGTGACAAATTAATGTTGATGTTTTTTCTGACGTGGTTATAGGTCAGAAAAGAGCCGAGGAGTGTTCATGGTCTATACGAAGCAAATAACTTACAGAATGATAAAGATTTTAATATAAAGCCACCATTTTCTTAAAAGTGAGAGAGAGAGAGAGAGAGAGAGAGAGAGAGAGAGAGGAGAAAGAGGGAGAGAGAGGGTTGGGGCATCCAATAAAAAGAACTTTTGGAAGTTAGGGGTGTTCAAAATGGGCAAAAATGGGCAAATAATGCATTGTACAAAATATGCTCCCTGTCCCTCCCCCACAAAAATGTTGCTGTGTTTATGTTAGGGTGGGAGATGCTATGTCTGCCCTACTTCTGAAAGTGAGGGGGGGGGGGTGTCCCCCAATTTTTGATGCCCTCACAATTTAACAGGACATGCTTTCGAGAATGCAAACCCATCAATTTTACAATAATTCTAAGATCAATACAATCCAACAACTTAATTTATTTCTGACCTCAATTAAACACACAAACAACATTTTCTTTGCTGAGCAGATAGGTATATTTTTTCTCAAAATAAAAGATACATCAATAAGCAGATTTTAAGAAAAAGTATATTAAATTTTACATACATGTATCTGTATGAATGTAGTATACTTTATACCTGAAAGATTATAATAGGGAGTGAAAAAGTACTTTTAAGACAATTGTTTCTCTATAAAATATTCTTTGTACATCAAGATAATACAGGGCCTGAATATTTCACACAATTATATATAAATGAAAGACATTTCATTGGAAAACATGTCCCCCGTAGCCACAAAAAGAAGCCAACGAAAATTGGAAGAAATTGAAGAAATGAATATGAAATTAGTCTGGTCAATATAAAGTTATAACTTTATAAATACATGTATAACCAAAATGTATCAATGTGTGTGATACACTGTATATAGAAGTATTGTAGTCAAGCAATTCAAACAATGGACTGGAAATGCCAAAGTCTGGGGGCCTTTCCTTTGGCGTGATATTAATCAACATTTACATGTACCACTCTCTACCCTGGTGTAGTAAATGGGTACCTGGTAGGGGATTCCTTGAATGAGGTAACTAACTCAGTAGCCTAGCTGGAGCTGAGGTAATAGTGGAGTGCTTGGAGCTCCTTGAGCACCTTGGGAGGTGGGTTGAAGCGCTATACAAGAACCAATGCAGTCAAACCTGTATAGAAAGACCACCTGTCTATAAAGACCACATTTTGTGATTCCCTAGAAAATGGTTTCTCATAGAAACATGTACTTTAAGCACCTGTATATAAAGATCACCTGCCTATAAAGGCCACTTTTATGTTTCCCTCGAAAATGGTTTTTCATTGAAACATGTACTTTAGGCACCTGTATATAAAGATCACCTGCCTATAAAGGCCACTTTTATGTTTCCCTTGAAAATGGTTTCTCATTGAAACATGTAATATAGGCACCTGTACATAAAGATCACCTGCCTATAAAGACCACTTTTCTTGTCTCCCTTGGGTGGTCTTTATAGACAGGTTTCACTGTATTATCATTACACACATTATTTAGGATATATCATACTATTGCTTTCAATTTTATCAGGAAGAATATTGAATGAACGTAACACCACACAGTGAAAAGGAAAATTCTGATTAAAATAGATCTAAATTCGTAACACATATTTTTAAATGGTTACCAATCAATGGTCACTCAAATTCTAGAAACTATATCAGCCTTTTTCTTCTGTTTCTTTTATATTACACAAAAACCAGCCATACTCTATAATACATCAGCCATCACCGCCCCACAATACATTTCAAGGGAAACTCATCTGTGTACATGTTCAAATACCATTAAAATCCCTTTCGAATAATGATTTTTTTTTTTTTTTTTTTTTGTAGATGCTCTTTACATGTAATATATCAGCCATTTTTGTAATCATTATTACCCAAACTCAAAGATATTGTTAACATGATACAAAAATACAGAGCAGCAAGTAGATGAAATAGAAGAATAAATGTAGGAAGTTCTAACTGAATTATTGACAAATACACTCAGAAAATTCGAATTTAACAAACACACCATTTACAGACACTAGATACAGGTATACCGAAATATTGCTTGCAACGTAAAACTCTAACTTCAAGTAGAAATATTAAAAGCCCTTCAGAAGATCAATATATACCTACATAATATTGTGTACAAGTCTACACCAATGCTTTGGTGAATAGAAATCTGCTTTCAATTGAGTTTTACTATGAAAAAAACACAATCGTAATATTTAATATGAAAACATACATGCACATAAACACTGCAATATATTAATACAAAAGAAATGAATAAGTCCTTAGAAATACATTAATGATGAAAGTTCTGTTCATCATCACTGAGTAGTGACATAAATGTATTACATTACAATACAACATATCAGACATATATTATATTTATATTGCTAGGAAAATATAGAATCAAGGTTGTAAGAAAATAGAAAATAGCTAATATCACATTTTTTTGTATTCACCTCATCCATAATGCTTTGGTAACTAGAAATTTGACTTTCTTTTATAAAAAAATACCTACGTGTACGTGCAAAATGATGCAATAATCATCATGTAAACATAAGACATGTACAAATACAGAAATGTTGGAATATACATGTATTAATATAAAAGGATGAATAAGTGTTTGAAAATACTTTTATAATGAAAGCTCGTTCATTTTACCGGAGTACTGACATAAAGGTATCATTAAAATGTAATAGTGAAATTGAATGTACCTTAACGAATTCACCTCATGAATACCTACTGTGCTGTAAATTACAAGTACTTAAAGGAAAGTAAACGTCAATCTGTCAAATGTCACATTTAGTGACCCAATCAAATACTACTTTTTTTCTGTAGTTCCAAAAAAGTAACTGTGTACTATAGCTCTTTATCTGTCACCAATTTAAAGCTGAAACTGCCACACTGTTTTGAGCAGCATTTACCATATTACATTGTGTGTGCAAAAGGTTGACTGTCGCACTCCAATTTTTGATTGATAGATCAACCTAAGTGGACAAAGAGTTTTAAAAAGAAGTCACAAAAGTGGTGTCAAATATAACTCAGCAGTTAAGAATACATAAGAGAATTTCAGCAACCTGCCATCACCCCCACCCCCATATGATACCCCCTTAAGAGCAGGATGGGTTAGGTGATGATCACCTCTATTCCTGTACACCGTAAGGCACAGGTCGGGCCAAGACTCGTTTGTCATTGACGTACGCAAAAGCTGTGATTGAAGTTACCCCCAGCCCCACTACCACCACCACTACAAGCCCCCCTCAAGAGAAGTACGGCTTAAACAATTATCACCTCTAATCCTGTACACCATAAGGCACAGGTGGGGCTAGGACACGCTTGACGTACACAAAGGCTATGAGTGAAGCGATGACGGCTCCCAGTAAGAACATGGCGATCCCGATGCCTGCTGCTGTGCCTGCAAGATACGAAGAATGAAATGTTAACAAAAGAGCATTAGTTGCAACCACAAATAATAATAATAGCTCACATTTATAATGCGCCTAATACTTTGTGTCTACATGTAGGTGCAGCACATATTATTACCCCGATCATCAGATTCAGGCTTACCCGCAACACAATGTACGCACATTTTCCACTCCCTGGGGAGCATTCTAGCCAGTTGCCATTTTTTTTACAAGCGCCACTTGCTAATTCAACCACATTAACTTCCGCATCCTACCGGATACCCATTTAACACCTGGGTATGGAGTGGCAAATGTAGATCAATGTTTTGCCAAAGGACATTAGTGCTGCGGTGGGACTTGAACTGCTGACCTTGTGATCCACAGTCTGGTGACATATCCACTCGTCAACGACACCTTTACAAATAGACCTCCCCATTGCCATCAGAAGTTAACAGAAGTTAACTTTGTTATAGCTTTTTTGCTACAAAATCATATTTTACACTAAAGCATTTTCTTGTAAAAGTAAATACTACACATCCATGATTGCCTGCATGAACCTATTGTATGCGTTGTCTACATGTAGCTAATATTGATAGAAAAGGCAACCTAAATATTTCATTTTGAGAAGAATCCTAGAGAAGTTGCAAGGGACAGGATCATGAATGCACTCCATCATATGTATAACAATTATTGCATATGTAATGATGTTTTGTATGACATAAATGAATATCCAAGTTAAGAATTTACCTGTAAGCCATTGTATTTCAACCTCAGCGACATATGACATCACTCAAGAAATTCTGAATTTGTTGCTCAACTCAAAGGTAAAGACCAGTTTTGGAAACACCCCCCCTCTCAAAAAATGAAATGGAAGCTCTTATTACCAATCATGTGAAAGAATATGTTTTGACTAATACGTAATGATACAAATTTTGCCGGGAAACCGCCTACTGATTGATAAATTTGGTGAATTATCATATCGATCTGGCCTGGTTAGATATTGCGAATGCACTTCAACATTGAACATTTGGGCACATATTTCTGCTTTTTTTGCGAATTTATGTTAAAGTATTGCCATCTAAACCTCTGAAGGCAATATTTAAACAATATTGAATGGATATTTTGCACCCAAAACCCTTGAACCGCAACTTACCACTACCGGTCTTTAACTTTAAAGTGGGTTATATAGAAATATGGAGTATCAAAAAGTCCTAAAAAGACTCACCTGTTCCTACGCCTTCATGGCCATCGTCCGATGGTGGGTGAAAGTCAAAACGTAGGGAACCCCTTGCAATGATCACGCCCACGTCCTGTTACAAATAGTGGAACAAAATTAAATCACCAAGTGCTCAAGATCTACCTTCTGGAAAAGGAATATTAAATTTCCTTTGCTACAGGTAGTACAATCTACTCAGATTTTGAAAATTTGAGCTAGCTTTCCGGGCAGTTACTACAGCCCAGGTCATTTCGAGTCCATATCATTAACACAACGAATTAGAAAACTAGATGGATCTTTGACTGCGCGTAGTCGTAAATGACGCCTCTGCCATAATGCGATTTTACAAACCAAACAGAAGCAATTTAAAAAATTCAAGTTTGATTGTAATCCATTAACAACAGGTTCTCAGAATATCATGATTACAATCTCTTTTTCATATACATGTACAAGTATGACCCTTTGATCTTTGACCTCATGACCCAAAAACCTAATCAGTTCATTGGTTCTGCAAGATACATACATGTCTAATACATACGGTTCTAATGAAAATGTGATCACAAGCTATTTTTGCATACATAATGAGCCCTGTGAACTTTGACCTTGTGACCCCAAAATCTAATCAGTTTATTGGCTTTGCCGCAAGATACATACATGGCCTAAGTTTGGCGGGAATCCATCAATCGGTTTTTTTGAGATAACATGATCACAAGATTGGGACGTACATGTATGGACGGATGGACTAAGCTTAATAATGGTCGGCTAGATCTGTGTTTCTAATCCAAAACTGTACTATATAACCTACGTTAAGACCCCCTGCTTATAAAGACAACATTTCTTGTCAGCCTCAAGCGATCTTCGTATGTAGGTTCAATGGGGTTCCTTTCTTACCTGCCTTGCCCTATTTAGTAAAATTAAGACCTTGACCAATATTTCTCATTGAAACATGTATTAAAGACACCCCTAACCCTAAGCTTAAACTACATGTAGGTCAGCTATGACATTGTTTCTCATTGCAAACTGTACTAACAAAAACTATCATTTAAAGAGACCGCCTGCTTATTGAAGAAGATCACATATGCTGTCTCCCCAGAGTGGTCTTTGAACACAGGTTCGCTTCATACCTTGCCGTCTTTGGTGAAGTTGATACGGATAGGGTTCACCTGCAGGACCCGTTCTTCAAGGGTTACCAGAGCTGTAGCAAGGTCAGGCCCGACCTTGGGGTTGACAGCGTTTCCTTTAACAGGTGGTAGGCCAAGCATGTCGAAGTAGATGATCAGGATCTCCTCGACACCCTCAGCAGCCTAAAAAAAAAGGGACAAGTAAATATGCCATTGAATACATGAGAATGTGAAAGGCCAAGCAGAACAGTTCTGCAGATGTTAGGGGGGAAAAAATGTCTGGTAATTTTGATATGCATTGCCCTTTACAGGTGGGAGGCCAAGCATGTCAAAGTAGACAATCAGGATCTCCTCGACACCCTCAGCAGCCTACAAAAAAGCGACAAATTAATATGCCATTGAATACATGAGAACGTGAAAAGCCAAGCAGAGCAGTTCTTCAGATGGTAGGGAAAAAAATAATATTCTGATAATTTTTATATGCATTGCCTTTTAAAGGTGGCAGACCAAGCATGTCGAAATAAACGATCAGGATCTCCTTGACACCCCCAGCAGCCTACAAATACAACACGAATATATTCAATTCTCTACGAACAATACAGGTTTACAGATAGATATCAGATATGTCAAATCATGTTCCAAACACAATTTTATACGGAAGAATCTTGTTATAAAGAACACTGTTACAACAAACTCTAGTTACAAGGTGGTTTTTCTTCAGTCTCTCTGAATAATACATAATAAACTGGGATAATATAGTGCTTAGAAAAAAGCATATTTGTTTGCATTTGGGGGTAAATCCCCTTTTCAGTATGCTGTTGTTGGAATGTATATGTATATGGTTGTTGGTGCGACACATACTCCAGCTAACAATAACTCCACAGTCCATGTCCTAAGCAAATTCCAAACTTTGACCAATCACCAACACCTACCCCACCCCTAACCATAAACGAACTCTTCCCGGAACCTAAATGCACATCTAACCCATTCCTTAACGAGTTGAAGCGTCTGCCTGTCAAAAAAAATATCTTGGATTTGAATCCAACCCAGGCGGATAACTGAAGCCTGCGTTGTGTGTTAACGTGTCCCTCCCCTTTGTTTCATATACGCAGGCTATGTTAAGTGGAAAACACTCCATCTCTCGAATAGGATGTTAAATGGAGGTCCTGTGCAGAGGAGAATCACCACCTTTGCTCGTTAAGAACCCACTGCACTATTCATATAAGAGTACGGGGAAACCCCGGTGTAGTTGTCCACCTGCACACCCCAATCAGCTACACCAGGAGTGATGCCGTCTATGGTATATACTCACGTAAACATTGCCGATACGACTGGCAGGAAGCCCCGATACATTAGCAATAGTATGCTGCACCGCAGCGTAGAAATTGTGGGTGTTGTTCTCGATGTAGTTCTTACGAATATCTTGATAAATAGAAAGAAAGAAAATAATAAAGATTGCATTTTAATTGCCTTTGAGTAAATTTACTTTCAGTACACACGAACAAACTAAAAGTTAGCTAGGTAAAAATAAGTCTCAGTTTCTGTCCCGATTCATTTGTTTTTCTGCAACCTACATTCTAATTTGTATTAAATATGTGTTTTCTTTAGCATGAAATAATGGAGATTCTGAGGAAATCAAGATGACTTGTTTTGAGCCTTTTTTGGTACATGGGCAAAAGTTTGTGTGTGCAGGAAAACTAACAAATAAACATGACTATATCTCCTCGTTTCTAAAACATCCTGACAAAATACACAATGGCCAGTTTCACCTGACTGGGAGCAATAATGACAATGATTACAGTAAAAAAGAAAGAAAATGATAACGATGATAATGACTAAATTGCTCGCCTTGTATTTACGTGAAAAATGCATTGGAAATCATTGCCGTAGTTTATATTTTTATAACCTTGTAAAGACCTCAACCATGATATCTTTTGCTCCTTCAATCAGAAATCAGGGGGGTGTTTCACAAAGATCCTAAGTCAACCTTACTCTATGTTGGACTTAAGCATTATGGAGAGCCATTTGTAGCCTTATAATAAAATATATCCAATAGCAAAAATTCAAGTACTTTACACTGTTCATAATTTCCACATTAAGAACATGAAATATTCTTGAAAATAGAAGATACGAATGATATGAATCAACATTTTATGCCTTTTAAAATAATTTTTACAACATATTTTTAAACATCCTGACGGCTTTCCATAATTGTTAAGTCCAACTTAGAGATAAGTTAAACTTAGGATCTTTGTGAAACACCCCCCAGTTTGAGAGAAGACATGCAGGCTGAGCCCACCATGTTTGATTGCTTGTTGACAAATCAGGCTACATCACCATTATCCATATAATAATAATAATTATCATCTGGATTTATATAAAGCGTTTGTTACTACGTTTTTAAGTGCTTTACATTGATATTAATATTACCCTGGTCATTGAATTCAGTTGCTAATCTGCACATCCGTATAACCCATCATTAAGGTGTTCCCTCTTGTTAACGCTTTTCATCCAGGAGGATATATCACGTCTTAACTCAATGCCTTGTACCTACCGACTCCTACAATCTCTACAGCTACAGAGTAACTGTCTAACTCAAAATAATTCAGTTGGGACCGCTTTTATTACTATAGGTACAACATCATTATCCTTATTGTTAAGGTGTTGCTACCCTTTAAAGCCCCACTGCACTACTTATATCTACTTGCGCCCTCTATATAGCAAACAATGCCTAGGCGGTGCCTGTTGGTCCCCCATGATCCCCTTTTTCTTATGTTAATTGAGAGGTGAGTTGACGAGATAGCCACCTGTCAGTGACCTTGCAGGGAGGTCTAATCCCTCCTGGCCAAACTAGTGCAGACGGGTTTTAATATCTCAATACCTTCTTCTTCCTTTAGAGTACAAACCTCTTTACAGAGTATTATCGTACTATACTGGGGGTGTGTGCAGGTGGACCACTACACCGGGGTTTCCCCCTACTCCTGTACAAATAGTGCAGTGGGTTCTTAACATCCTATCTGAGGGACCTTGTACCTACCGACTCCAATAATCTCTACCGCCATAGAGCGGCTGTCTTCCTCGTTGTAGCAGAGATGAACATCAAAGAAATGATCCGAAAGCTGATAAGTGAAGTGGATCAGTTTCTGATTCATTCTAAACGTGAAGTTTGTGCTTGCATTCTGTAAAAAAACAATTATAATAGTGATACATGTATTTTAGATCTCACTTCTATGGTGGGCCGTACAGGCCATTATTATGTTCAACTTTACAACTATACTTCCATCAAATTGATGTAACATTTTATCCAATCAGAACACTGGAAACTATATAACCATGCAACTATACAACAATAAATCTATTGAATGGATGAATAAAAGCAAAAGAAAAAACAATAATAAAGGTGATACCTGTATTGTAGAACTCACTTCTATGGTGATTAGGCCATTTTTATATGACTATTTTAACTACCGTAATCAAAACACAGGAAACTATATATACAACCTTTAACGCTATACATCTAACTGTTCATCCTTCGAATGGATGTAAAGTTTTATCCAATCAGAACACTGGAAACTATACAACCATGCAACTATACATCAATAAATATATCGAATGGAAGTAGAGTTGTACATAATACTGGCATGCGAAGCCCACCATACACTCCTAGATCCTAATCAAATGATCGGACGAACGCAGTTGCAGGTGATCTAGTAGTTTCCAGTATTTTGGGGAGTAAATAATGAAAATGAAATATAGTACACCTAGCAAGGTAAAATTAATAAACAGATACAAAAATGAGAAGTGGTCTTCCCTTATGCTTTTTTCTTTTGCCTCTGCATTCTTCTCCTCCACCCCCCCCCCTTTTTTCGGGGGGGGGGGGGTTGGGTGCATAGTTTACTGGGCCATACAGGCACAAGACTACAAACCAGGGTTCAATTAGTTGTTTCATGAATGTGGAAAAGATAATACTCACCTTGCCAGTAAACCTGAATAGTAGGGGCATCTGATGAACTAAGCCAGATTTATTTGTGCCTCCCGTCCAGTTACCCTGCATACAGCAAACGGAAAGAACCGAAAAAGTACAGGAAGTACACAAAGGATAATTTAGTGATGTCACAATTGATATTTGATGATGTCACAATGAAAAAGTCAGTAATTATGTCACAATAGCAAATTATATATGCCACAATGGCTAATTATCTATGTCACAATGGCTAATTATCATGTCACACTATCTATGTCACAATAGATAATCAGTGATGTCACAATGGATAGTCCCCAGACTCTCTAAAAGTTGTATCGCACAGAACATGTATCAATTTCGATATGTATGCCGGGCTTGAGCAGATAAAACAAACACAGGGTATAAGTCCATCAATAACTCTGCACTTGCACTAGTTCAAAATTACTCAATTTTACAGGATGTATGCACGAGTGGTTAAGTCCCTGGACTGTCGTTCACAAAGTCCGCGGTTCGAGACCTGCGCAGCGCTCATGTCCTTTGGCAAGACATTGATCTACATTTGCCACACTCAACCCAGGTGAGGTAAATGAGTACCTGACAGGAATTAATTCTTTGGAAAGCTAGAGCGCCGTAATGGCAGCACAGCTAAAGCCGAGGTAATAATTTCCAAGTAGTGCTATACACTGTATATAAAAACTGAGTATTAATATTATTATTATTAATTACTATTTTTACTTACCCTAGCAAAGAAGTACTCCATGGTGAAGTTCCAGACGGAAGATCCGTTAACACGCTGACCAGCAGTAATCCAAGCCTCGGCATCAATATCATCCAAAGTCGTCTGTAGAGAATGAATGTAATAATAGGAATAGTCATATTTGTACAATGTTTAATTCAGGGTGGACCACAAACAAGCATGTCCTAGAACAGGTGAAATTGGAGCTTGGAAGGAATATGAACTGTTGTCTCTACTCCAGGGCTTGATTAAAGGCCCACTGCACTACTTGTAGCTACTTGCGCCCTCTCTATATTAAACAATGCCTTATCAGTGACCATTGGTCCCCCATGATCCTCTTTTTCTTATGTCAACTGAGAGCTGAGTTGATGAGATAACCACCTGTCCAGTGACCGTGCAGGACGGTCTAATTCCTCCTGTAAACTAGTACTGATAAGCTTTAAGGGCTCCAAGGTTTCTTAGATAAACTCTAACCCAAGCCATATTTTGAACCATTTTCAAACACATTTTATCACTATTATTTCATAAATAATCTATTTTAAATACACATATTTAACTGTTGCTGTACAATAAAAATTCAACCCTGTTCCTGTTACATCTTTAAACCCCTGCTACATTTCTAAGCACTTCTCATGTAACATTATTACCCCAGTGGAAAGCGCTTGGATAAATAGTTGGATAGATAGTTTGATAAATCACCAGATCGTAGATCACAAGGTAGAGGTTTCAAATCCCAGCCTAGCACTAACGGCCTTTGGCAAGATGTCAATCTACATTTGCCACTCTCCACCCAGGTGATAAATGGGTACCTGGTAGAATGCAAACATTAATGTAGTTTGCTCAGCATTGTGAGCGTCTGTAAAATAGCCCCTGGTTGGAATGCTCCCCAGGGAGTGGAGAATGTGCAAAATTTGTGTGCAGGAAAGCCTGAATCCGATGACCGGGGTAATAGTATATTTGTAAAGCGCTTAGAGACAATGTGGATGTATTAAGCACTATATAAACGCTGAATATTATCATTATTAATATCCAACCATATTGATGTAAATATCCTACCAGCCACCAATTTAATACTTGGATGATGACTGGCACATGTGGATAAAAATCCTAGATCAAATTGAATTAAACAGAACTGAAATGAATTTAATTAAACTGAATTGAATTAAACTGAATTGATTTAAACTGAATTGATTTAAACTGAATTGAACTGAAATGAATTGAATGGAATTGAAATGAATTTGACTACATGTACATTGAATCAAATTGAATTAAACTGAACTGAAATGAATTGAATTGAACTGAATTGAATTGAATTGAATTATATTGAATTGAATCTTACATTTCCCTCATAGATCCATGATGACTGGTTATGAAGAATGAAGCTGTTTGGGGATTTCAGTGATACATGTATCCCATCCGGCGATTCAGTATCCCTGAAGAAAGAGTCAACGGGTATAGGACCAATGGTACACTGATCAGTCCCATACTCAAACTTGTAAGCCAGACCTATGATAAAAGAATGTGTCTGAGTAAATTTACTGTCATATACTTGGTCTAGAGGGGCAGTTGTGCATGGACAATTGTTCTAAGTCCCTTAATCAAACTTACATGCCTCACCCAAGACAAACTTATATTTTCTTGTACTAGTTCTTAGGAATACTTGTCCTAAAGAGCACTTGTTCTATGAGGGGTACTAGTTCTTAGGAATACTTGTCCTAAAGAGCACTTGTTCTATGAGGGGTACTAGTTCTTAGGAATATTTGTCCTAAAGAGCAATTGTTCTTAAGAATACTTGTCCAAAAGAGCACTTTTTCAATGAGAGGTACTTGTTCTTAGAAATATTTGTCCTTTATGAAGGCTACTTTTGCTTTATAGGAATACTTGTCCTGAAAACACTTGTTCTACAACGGGTATTGTCCCAACGGGTACTTGTCCTAAAGGGTACTTGTCCTAAAGGAAACTTGTTCTATAAGTACTTGTCCTAAAGAGTATTTCTTTCTGAAGGAAAAATTGTCCTAATGGGTGTTTGTCCTAAGCGCTACATGTCCTATAAGTGATGCTTGTCTTGAGGGGTATTTGTCTTACGAAGTGTGTGCTTAAGTGGTACTTGTTCAGGGGCTGGTTGTCCAGGGTTGGTCAAACAACAAAACCAGTATTACATACCTGCATTGAAGTCATGGACTTCTCTGACCATAGTGGCATTCCCTGAAGAGTTGCCCCAAGGTTCGTATATATATGCAAACAGATTAGCCGGATAGTTGTAGTACTCCTAATGATTGAATTTAAAATTTGAAATTGAAATTTGAAATAAATTGACAATGAAAATTGAATTTTAAAATTGGAAATAAATAGACAATAAAATTGAATTTGGAAAAAAAATTGAAAATAAAAATTGAAATTGAATATTGCAATTGAAAAATTGAAAAAAGAATAATGCAAATTGAATAGTAAAATTTGAAAATTGAAGATTGAAAATGGAGGATGGGAAATGGAAGATTTGATATAGGAAATGTGAGATTGTTCAAAGCTTTTAGCTATTTCTTATCATACATACAATACAACTGTATACTTGTATTTTCGAATACAAAGGCATTTGAATGGCAATCTTTTCCGCGGACAAATCTTTGATTCAAATGTACGTTGTAAAAAGAATGAGAAAGCTCAAAAATGTATTTTTCGCTGTTATCAAAATTCTTTCTTTTTTTTCTTAACCCTTTTGGGACGAGCATTCCACATTTTGATGCTTGAAAAGAAAGGACAACAATTTCTGCACACATATATTGTATTCATTTTTGTTATATGACCATATTACATTTGATGCCCAGAATTTTAATTAAGGAAAATAAGCCTAAAATTCCTTACATTGGCAACACTTTAGGAGGTTCAAAATCATTGTTTTTTTCTGTCAGAATCGGCCGATATTCAACATTTCTGTAAAATTCCTGTAGAACCATGTATAATGTAATACAGAGACATAGCATTTTGTCAGAACAATGTAGAATTAAAAGGAAACAAGGTTGCCAAGTTGAAGAACAATATGTGATTGATTTAGCCCTAAAGAAAAATCCCTGTCCTAAGACGATAGACAACCAGAGACTGCTATTATCATGGCAGGCATTGTACTACAGATGAATGGAGGCCAGTGAATAAGAATGGAAGAAGTAACTTACCCTTGAATAGTGGATTCTTTGATAACTTGGTATCACTGATTCTATGTTCACCCCAAAGACTTTGGGGAAATCTGGGAACTTCTTCACCCTCTTGTAGCCTGGGCAAACTACACCTAGAGGTGGCTGTAAAGCAGAAAACAAGTAACGAAATTGATTATAATTGAGTGAGGAGTTGTGACTTTGTGTGGGCTCAAAGGTTACGCATCAACTTAAAGGTAAAGACCAGTTATGGTCACGCGATTGCATTGGGAAAGAAACGTTGTGGAATCGATCAGAAAAGGATGATCATCTAGCATCTAGCATCTGCAAGGTTCTGGAATCATCAAAATGATAAGAAATTTGGCCCATTCTTCGTAAAGTTACAAGCACTATACACAGAAAGATGTATATGGGACTACCCTATATCTCTCACAGACCATGAGAGAAACAAATTTACCAAATATATGAATTAGTAGGCGGTTTCCCGGCAATTTTTTTAAAACCATGTATTAGTCAAAACATATTCTTTCACATGATTGGTAATGAGAGCTTCCATTTCATTTTTTGAAATTGGGGCGTTTCCAATACTGGTCTTTACCTTTCAAGTGTACTTTATAATCACCTGATAAAATATTTTGTGAATATGTAGCATGTGTATAAAATCAACCTCAAATCATTTACCTGGCATTCTTTACATGTACCTGTAGATAAACTATTAAGGAGTTTGAAGAAAATAAAAGATACATGTATGGCTCGCCTGGAACCGAAGTTGGTGCATGCCCTATTCAATGCGAGTGTGTACATGCATGCGAGCGAAGGTGTTTTATAGTTTACTTAGCGAGAGTATTTGAAATGCAATATTTCTTTGTAAAAGAAATATTTGAAGCTCATAGTTAACTATTAAGTATATAAACAGGGAACCCCTTACATAAATAGCAAAACAAGTATTCTTGATTGGTACATGTACACATTAACATTGATTGCAGACTGACCTCCCTTTGAGCTGAAGACCTTTTTTGGGGGGACTGTTTACCGTATCTTTTATAAAGAGTGATATGTGTTATAATAACGTGGTAGCATTATAAACATGTATTATCTAAAATATATTAGTAGCAATTTTACACATTCTCGTATATGTAATTTATGCTACACACTGAGCTCACGCTACAGGAATCTTCCATCAGGAAATGTGTACATGTACTTCAATAGCAACTCGAAAGTATCATAAGTACCCATTAGTGCCAAAATGACATATAAACAGCAATTTATGTAATAGATCTTGGCACTCTGCCAATAAGGCAATAATCACCATGTAGAAATGATTATATCACTTATCCATTGTGTGTACACCTTCAATGCATGTCATCACTTCTGTTTACAATACCAGGTACTTCTATTGTGAAATATGAATGCATTTGCCTCACAATGCCTGCATTATGACCTCGTAAATTGCCCTAGATAAAGTACGGCTGCAAACAGAGAATCAATAGCGACATAATTTATTTATAGTAAAATCAATTCTCTTCCTCCCCCCTCCCCCCTTCCATATGGTGTTTCTTATTTACAAATATATATCCAACAAATTCAATTATTTTAATACAGAAACAACTATGGATCATGTAATAAAACAAGTGACTGAAGGGTTATTAATAATCCTGAGAGCCAAAACTCCAGGGTAGAGGAAACAAAAATGAAAAATAATATTTCAATACATGTGAAATACATGATAAACTCAAACTTGCTGGAGGCAATTAATGTTTGCATATGATATACAGTGATTGTAAGCAAATTATGAAGAGTTTAATTCCAAAAGGAGCTAAATCCACTTTTGTAACTTCAGAGAAAAAAAGGAATTGTTTGCCAGAATTTAAACAGGCGTCTATAGAAAAGTGATATTAGAAGGTTGCTTTTGAATTGCTCCTAAAATCTAAGTACATACCGGTAATTTTGTTGAAAGACAGGTCCCTATTAAAGTGAACAACGTTCTGATAACAATAACTCAATTTTCATCAAAAGTGGATTTAGCTCCTTTTGGAATTAAGCTCTTCACATGCACATATAATACATGTGATGAAATTGTTTCTCTTTCTTCTTACCTCAAAGGCTCTTTCCATGGTCACAGGGCCCGGCTCAACTTCCAGGTATTCATAATTGTGGTAAAAATTGTACTTCTCCTGGGTTCTCCTACTAATACCTGCCAATTAGGGACAAAACAAGCAACAAATGTCAAAAATGGATGTGCACTGTAAGACTACTATTTAAAAACACTTGAAGTTTCCTGAATGAACATGTACATGGAACTATAATATCAATTGCATTTAATTTCATTCTTTTCTCAATTCTATGAAAATGACAATAAAACATACAAAACAACCTACACTGCAGTAAAGGTATACACTGCACGTAATTAAACAACAATTAAAAGGTACAGTACAAAATTGCAATAGATTGAAATGTTCCAAAAAACATATCAAAATGTGGAGGCACAAACAAAAGCCAAAGGCCGATCACAGGCTTGTCTCCAAATATACAGAGTGAGTCCAAAAAAAATTACACCTAGAAAATTGCTAATTATTAAAAAAATCATCGATAAACATTAAACTTGTATATGTCTTATGAACGAGTGTTTTATCCCAAATCATTTGGTACCATTTTTGTGTGGTATGTGTTCACGCTTGGATGAACAGGAGACATTGTTTGCGAGAGTGCAAAAATCAAATTGCGCCAAAGTTGCCTGTATGATGTTTGAATAAAACAATTGGGATTTTGGTATTAATTCGGTCTTTGCAGATCCAAATAACACCCCTAACAAAATCAATCATGCCACACATATCAAATATCGAATATCAGATATCAACGAACATTTGTGCGCGTGTGTTTGGGTGTGTGTGACTTTGCCCTTTGCAAAAAAACATATGCAATGTATTTCATTTGATACATTCAATCCATTCTCTCACTCCGCTAATCCCAACATAATACATACTGAAGGCATCACTTTGGCGCAAGTCGATTTTTGCACTCTCGCAAACAATGCCACTTGTTCATCCAAGCGTGAACACATACATGTACCACACAAAAATGGTACCAAATGATTTGGGATTAAACACTCTATCATAAGATGTATAATAATTTACTGTTCATAGATGACTTTACAAATAATTAGCAATTTTCGCAATGAGGTGTAAACTTTTTTTGACTCACACGGTATATCCACTAAAACATGTAAATTCCAAGATTGCAATTTTTAACTGCAATTCTCCCCTTCTGTATTGTGGTTTTAAAGGTACAGTACCTTTCAACTTTAATACATACATCTGAATAAATATATTTCCTATAAGAACTATATATTTCCTATAAAAATACATGAACTTTAAAAGATGGAAAATCCAAAGTGGAGGAAGTAAGGTACTTGTTTCTGTTTCAGGAAAGATAAGACAATGAGAAATTGAATTATATACTGTTTATGTATATTTATGTATACTTGTGTTTTGTGTATATATTATACCATCAACTAATGAGGAAAGCATCCTACAGAAACTCAAGTTTCTATTGGTAATCCCCAGGCATTAGTTGGTGGCTTTTTTCTGTTATTCTATTTATTATTGTAATTTGTTTCATTTTATGTTATTGATTCCTGTATATATCCTTTATATTCCTGGAAATCAAAATAAAATATATATAATAAAAATAGAAGGTCTGAATTCTTCAGTAGGATTTGACAACCATAGAATGGAAGGGGTCAACAATAAAGACAAAAATCGTCTAAGCTCTGCATTTTTACATGTTTGTTTTTCCTTACCAAAGAAAAAAAATTGAATTTTACCTGATCCATTAATAGTAGCTCTGAGAGGGATGGCATTCGGCCCTGACTGAAGATGGAAGCTAGCGTTGGAGAAATAGAAATCAAGTCTGAAGGTGTGATTGGAGTCGGGATTGTAGATGCATCGCTGCCAATGGTTCGCGGGGATGCCCCTGACCGTCGCCACGCCCATGTAGGTCTCGTTGAATTCCTCGCCGAACCGGAATATGGCGTCGGTGCCGTTGATGTGACCGGTCCCATTTTCAATATGGAAACCGAACAGACTGAAGCGACCAAAGTCCCGAACATTGCAGCTGGACGTTCCTTTAGAAGTTAATAACAAGAAAAACACTGTCAAGTGTCAACACCAGAAACTGTTTGTGTTCCATGAATTGTGCAACTTAAAGTGGTCAAGATTCTTTTGAAAAATCTTGCTACAAAGGCCTTTGCAATTAATTCATGGTGTTTTCAGACTTTACATTGTTATCAACTAGTCAAAGTACACTGTAGTGCTGTAGATGCATGCATTCATATGAGCATGAATCTCATCTTGTATAGCCACAGCTTCAAACCTGGGCATTGTTTCATAAAACTGTTTCAAATACTACATTTCTATGGTAAATTTGCTCTCAGCCAATCAAATGCCATGATTTCAGTAGCAGACACAGTAAATGTAACTTATTGAAAACAAGTTTTATGAAACAGGGCCCAGGGTCAAATGGGTTTTAGGGCTAGCAGTAAGGGTCCATGTGTATGGGGTAGACCCCTTTATATAATTTGTCTTTTAATGCTTTTAATTTACCAGGAAACCAATGAAATTGGGGCTGAACCAGAATAAACTATGAACATGACTGACAAAGAAAGCGGACAAAATATACAGTTCCTCAGGTACATGTAGACAAAGGAACATCCCTTCACTGCTATTATGTAAAAATGTGTAGAACAGGTGTCACATGCATATTCACCTTTTTACATAATAGCAGTGAAGGGATGTTCCTTAGTCTACCGGAGGAACTGTATATTTTGTCCGCTTTCTTTGTTCATCAAATTCATAGTGATACAAGTACATATACAAACTGAATCACATGAAATTATGTTTCATTTAATTACTTCCTGGTCTGTCTCTGACATTTTACATATTTGTATACTACACAAAATGCAGCCAAATACATTTGGTCAGCGTTACCTTGCATACATTTAGAATTTACAGGGATATAAAAAGAACATTTTATCATTGATAAATACTATAAATAGTAATATTATTATCACCTTTCCTTTTCAACTATTATTACAATTATTATCATCTTAAATGATACCATCATCTTCATAATTATCAGTTTGTAATGATTACTATTTTATTATTATCATTATCATTCATATTATCATTATTATTCCTATTATCATTATTAATAATATTATTACCATCATCCTTATTATTATTGTCATTATCGTTATTACTATCAATAATTCATTATTATTAGGGTTATCATCACCATCACATAGCAATATCATTATAAATTATAATATTTATCATTATCACTATCCAACTTACCACTTGCATGGTCTGTTGTGACCTCCACAGTCTGGTTGAGTCCATAGTCGTAGGAAGTGTAATGCGTGCTGTTGTCACCGCGATGCGAGATCGAGGCACCGCGGTTATTGACTGCATCATAAAACTCCTCCAAGATGAAGGAATAACCCTTGTTTACAATATTCACTTCCACCTTCAGCCGATACTGCGAGGGAAGGGTGGGAAGCGGAGGGCCGTCGTAAGGGTAGGTGTAGTTCGAGGGGTCACAGACGCCCAGGTCGGGAGCTGCTTGTACGACGACGATGACCACTGCGATCAACGTTACAAGGTGGAGCTTCAAAGATGAAGCCATTTTGGGTGGATGTACTGTACTCCACCTATGGGAAAACCAACATGAAGTTTTTTAAGGATGTGTTGACTGTAAGATTTAACAAATTTAACCAGATGTTTTAACTTTGTAAACAGAATTTACCAAAAGTTGGAAATATAGCAGAAAGCATTTGCTGTACCGAGTGAGTCAATAAAAAGTTTACACCTAGAAAATTGCTAATTATTTTTAAAAATCATCTATGATCAGTAAATTATTATTCATCTAATGAAAGAGTGTTTTCTTCCAAATCTTTTGATATCATTTTTGTGTAGTATGTGTTCACGCTTGGATGGACAGGAGGCATTGTTTGTGAGAGGGCAAAAATCAACTTGCGCCAAAGTGATGCCTACAGCATGTATTATTTTGGGGTGAGCGGAGTGAAGGAATGAATTGAATGTATCAAATGAAATGTATTGAATGTATCAAATGCAGTGGCGTAGCCAGAGTTCGATGTTTGGGGGGGCACTTACATGTAATCGATCGAGGTAAAAAAAGGGGTCTAAAAAAAATCAACCGATCTTGGAAATTTTAGGGGGGGGGGCACGTGCCCCCCCCCCCCCCCCCCCCCCCCCCCCCCCCCCCCCCCCCCCCCCCCCGTGGCTACGCGCCTGATCAAATGTATCAAATGCATTGCATGCTTTTTGCAGAAGCAAAGTCACACACACACGCGCACAAATGTTCGTTGATATTTGATATGTGTGGCATGATTAATTTTGTTAGGGATGTTATTTTGATCTGCAATGACCAAATTAATACCCACATCTCAATTGTTTTATTCAAACATCACATTTAAGCAACTTAGGCGCAAGTCGATTTTAGCACTCTGGCAAACAATGTCTCCTGTTCATCCGAGCGTGAACACATACCACACAAAAATGATACCAAATGATTTAGGATAAAATACTCTTTCATAAGGTGTATAATAATGTGCTGTTCATCGACAATCTTTAAAATAATTAGCAATTTTCTAAGTGTAAACTTGTTTTGGATTCACACTGTATACATTCAATACATGGATATACATGTACATGTATATGTTTGCTGTAACTTCTTCTTCCTCAATTTCTATTGAAATGGAGATGTATAGACTATTGAAACTTCAAATTTAATAGACCCAAAGTTTTCAATACCTTTTCCCTGAAAAGGCTGAAAGCTGAATAAATGTATCTACCCAAAGTGACCTTCTTCCTCGATCTCTGTCTCTCCCGTTTTACTTCTTCTTCTTTCTTTCTTTTTTCTTTCTCCTTCTTCTATCCTTCTTTTTCTATATTTATTTTCAAGCAAAATATAACTTTAGGGCCTATCCACTCAAAGAGCATGGAATCTAGGCAGATCTTACCGTATAGACATACAAAATTTAAAGGAAATATACATGTAGATCTGGAAATGGTACGATGAGGAAATATATCAAATCTAAATATACATCTCTTTGTTAAAAGAGGACAATGTTGGTGAGATCAAGCACAACAAATATTGTTTGACGGCTATAGTCTCAGGGACGCTGCAACTCCAAGATTAAAATGATTTTTTTTTCTTTTCTTTTTCTGTTAAATGTCATGTTGGGAATCCAAGAATGATAATTAGAATCTAATCTCATCAGTTGATAGTGATACTGTCATACTGACTAGTCTATAAACTTGCCTTTAAGTTTAACTTGGCTTTAGTTTATACAACAAAATAAGATCAGACAAAAACAAAACAAAACAAAAATATAGTCAACAACCTGTCAGTCAGTTCACTGCGTTCACATTTCTCCAACACTAGAATTAAAACTAGACTCAATAAAGCACACATCACACTCATAGTCATAACATATATTTTACTTGTAATATATTATAACTTGCATCGACTCTAGGCCCTAATTAATTCATCATAAAAATAAGAGCACTGAGCATGAGTCAGCTAGAGCTCTGTACACTGTAAACTGAAACTAGCTGTAGACAGTCTTTTTCCCCCACAACATTAACACACCATGCACACACTGACACCGTCTCGTGATAAGTGACTTTCAATTTGTGCATCAATGCATATCATCAATGGCGGATAGATAATGAATACGGTACACAAAGAAGCGCTGTACAATATACCCCTCATGTAATGGGGAAAACTCAGTGGACGAGGTCTCTTGACCGAGATCCGAGCTCCAGCACCCCGCAGCGCAGGCTGAGGAAGGCCAAGTGACCAGTGAAAGTGGCAGCGAATTGCGGCGCGGGTGCAGATGCAAATATAAATATTGAAAGGTGCACTTTGTAAAATGCATGACATTGTTTCAGTTACATGCTTACCTAGTTACGATAAACGATGATCAACTGAACATTCACAAGCGCTAATAGTGCTTTGAAAGAATGAACAAAATCAAAGTAGCAGATCTGATATCGAGGCCGCTCCAGCTGGCCGTGTTTATGTAACGTAAAAATGCACAATCAAAATGTTGACGCCACCTGTCGACAAGGATTAGACAGGTATCAATTAGCTGATTGGCTGGAAGTTTGCGAGATTTTGCTGATTTTGGGTCGATCGAAGATGACTAAAATAGGTTAAATTTTGATCCGAAACCACCTATGTTTAGCTGCAGATTAGAATCGTGAAGCAATCTTGGACAATTAAATAGCAGAAAGGAAAAGGTAGGTCATGGTTACAGAGCAGCCGTTCCATACGATTTCCTTTTATTAGATTTATAGATAGATCTATCTTCTAGAAAAATAATTGTAATTAACGTTAACGTTAGACCTCTATTGTATGCATTGTGAGTGTGAGTGTGAGTGTGACTGTCTGGCTTGCCTTGTTTGACTGAGTCTGGGATCGGGCTCCTGTCGTCAGGGAGAGCTAGCCGAGTCCTCGCCGGCGATGCCGCGACCGAGATCACTTGGTACAGGTCACGGGTGTCCAAATTGGACATTTTTTTTGTAGGACCCTAGGCCAGGTCTAGATCTACTCGTCTTTACTTCTTAATCTTACTTCTTAATCTTAGTTAGCTTTGGGTTTTTTCTGGAGACCGACAGTGGTAGTTGGAGTTAAAAAGAAAGTTGTTTAGATCTAGAGTCTAGGGTCTAGACTAGATTTAGTAAGTATTGTTTAGTCTAAATTAATCTAGATCGACTAGACTCTAGGTCTAGATCTAGATCTAACTTACAGTTAAGTTTGTCCATGACCATGGTCCATGCCCATGGCCATGGGCCTGGCATAGAACTAGGTCTAGAGACTTACACTTAGTTTTAGAGTGTCTAACTTTAGATCACTGGTTTATGAATGACTGAGTATAGAGTCTATGACCTAGAAACTAGACTAGAGTCTAACCTAAAATTAAAACGAACAAGGAAAGAAAGAAAAAGAAGAAGAAGAAGAAGAAAAATCAAGAAGAAGTCAAAAGAACAGAACTTTGAATTGTGTGTGTGTGTGTGTGTGTAATAATGGGGTTTTTACAGACGTGTATCAATCAGATATTTACGTCTGGGGACCGACCTACATGTAGTTTAACGTCACCATCTGAAAGACGTGATTCAGTTTCAAACCTGCGTCCTCGCCTGAATCAGTTTGTAACTTCCATTTTTAGCTGGATTACAGGCGCACGCCACCACGCCCTGTTGTTCATAACATAGACTATTAATAATTAATAGTTAAGACTAAGACTAAGAGGAGGAAGATGAAAAACAAGATTTTCATGTCTACAAACCACATGTCCTAATGATTCTTGGCTACACATATTTAGACCTTGAGGCGATAGCCCTAGATTTGTACATTAAGACTGTCGTAAGTAAATTATAAATTATGCCTCGTAGATTTTCAAATCGTAATGGTTCACTCTTTATTTGCTGGGAAGTGAGTGACTCCCTTTCCTGAAATTGGTGTTATTTTAAAAGTCAAATAAATCAGGAAAAGGGTTGATTTTTCTGCAGTGACAATAGACCCATTCTGAACCCTTCCATTGGGTTCATGGAGTTCATCAGTTCAGGCCAAAGTATGAAAGTAAGGAAGCCAAAGTGAAAGTGTAAATCTGTGCTTCATCAAAATTCCTTCTCTGTGCAAAGTTGCAACAACTGGAATTCCTTTAATACCAGACCAGACTTGTGTAAACCAGTTCAAATCCATCTTTGGAAATATGGATACAGCCACCCCAGAGTAAAGTACAGTCCATACCAGAGAGATAGCATTACCTGGAGGGGCAAATAAGTATATCTTTATGCCTCAATATAGACTTAAACGTTGAAGTAATGTATTTCTAGATCTATCATCATTATCCAAGTTTTCCAAGTCTTTGCTGTAATGGAGGACGAGGCTTGTGAGTCAGAGTACCCCAAGGATTTTACTACCAACCTTAAGCTTCATCTTGCTGCAAGGAAGGGAAATGCAAGAAAGCTGAAAAGGCTCTGCAAGTCAGGTCAGTTGCAGGATAATTTATGTTGTACATATATCACCAGACTGTTTTTATGCCTCCGCCACCGAAGGTGGTGCCGGAGGCATCATGTTTTCGGGTTGTCCGTCCGTACGTCCGTCCGTCCGTCCGTCCGTCCGTCCGTACGTCCGTCCGTCCGTCCGTACGTCCGTCCGTACGTCCGTCCCGTTTGACCGTTATCACAATATCTCAAGAACCATTTAAGATTTAAACTTAAGACTCGGGAATAGTATTTATCACCATAGGAAGACGATCTGATTAGATTTTGGAGTACGTAGGTCAAAGGTCACAGGTCACAGAGGTCAACTTATGAAATTCCTTGTATTGAGTTTGTTAGCGCGATATCTCAAGAACCATTTGAGATTTAAACTTCAAACTTAAGGATAGTATGTATCACCATAGGAAGACGATCTGATTAGATTTTGGAGCACGTATGTCAAAGGTCAAGGGTCACAGAGGTCAACTTATGAAATTCCATACATTGAGATTGTTATCATGATATCTCAAGAACCACTAGAGATTTAAACTTCAAACTTAGTGATAGTGTGTATCACTATAGGAAAACAATCTGATTAGATTTTGGAGCACGTAGGTCAAAGGTCAAGGGTCAC